GGCGGCGCGGCGGCGGGAGCCCGGGGTGAGGCGTGTAATGGTTGAATAGAATGACCCCCCTCTGGGGAATCCCCGGCGCTGGCGGTTACGTAAGGGGCCGTGCGCAAGTGCGGCGTGCAGGGAATCCGCCACAGTCCCGGCCGGGTGGCACGGCTGTCCACATCTCCACGATCCCTAAAGACGACGGAGCGAGGCAGCGGGCGCCGCCGCTGACCGGGTCTCCTCCCCCCCCCCCCCCGCATCCCCTCCCCGGCTCGAGTCCGGCTCCGCGGCCCGGGGCTGCTTCTCCTCCTCCTTCTCCGGGCAGGGTCTCCGCCCCTCCTCGGCTTCCGAGACAACTCACTGGTTCTCGGGTGTTAGGAATTTCCTAGCCACACCTTATTCTGACCCCATTTTTTTTTTTTTTTATAAAAGACACAAACTTTACTTGGGAAATAAAAGCCGTTTCTTCGCGTGAGCCGTCCAGGCGTGTAGGGCTCCATTACATAATTGTAACCACCGCCAAACACGTGGTCCCGTGGGGGGGGGGAGGGGGACGATCGGAAAGGATCCCTCCTGACCTTTAGCTGCCCAGTGACCTTGGGGATAGTGATTTTGCTCTCGGTGGCCGTCTCTAAAATGGGAATAATCACACACACACACTCCGACTGACTAGGAAGCTTGGTGACATGTCAGGACATCTGTGTAGCCAGGCACCCGCTCCACCTCCTCAGGTCCGGGCAAACTTAGATGCTAAGCTCTTTCCAGTCCCCCCTCCTCCTTTTTTTTTTTAACCTTCACAAATATTCTAAAGGACTATCGCATTTCCTACCCTGAAAAATGACCCCCCCCATTTTGATATTTGTCGCAAATACCTGTCCAGGTGTCCATAGTTCATATATTATAGATACAGATATGTTCATGGTGATGGTCCAATACCTGTCCAGGTGTCCGTAGTTCATATATTATAGATACAGATGTTCATGGTGATGGTCCAATACCTGTCCAGGTGTCCGTAGTTCATATATTACATATAGATCTGTTCATGGTGATGGTCCAATACCTGTCCAGGTGTCCATAGTTCATATATTATAGATACAGATATGTTCATGGTGATGGTCCAATACCTGTCCAGGTGTCCGTAGTTTATATATTACATATAGATATGTTCATGGTGATCGTCCAATACCTGTCCAGGTGTCCATAGTTTATATATTACATATAGATCTGTTCATGGTAATTGTCCAATACCTGTCCAGGTGTCCATAGTTCATATATTTACAGATATGTTCATGGTGATTGTCCAATACCTGTCCAGGTGTCCACAGTTTATATATTATAGATAGATATGTTCATGGTGATTGTCCAATACCTGTCCAGGTGTCCATAGTTCATATATTATAGATACAGATATGTTCATGGTGATTGTCCAAGTTCCACCGATTGTTCCCCCCACCCCTACCCCATCCCCCCCAGCCAGTTGAATTCCTCTTTGCCTAACTTGGGTCTGAGAATATTCTGGCTTGAGGCAGGGAGCCAACCCATCGCTAGCTGAATCGAGCTCTTACTCTTTGTAGAAATGTCCACAGAACTAGGGCCGGCAGTTCACACACGATTTCATGTATAGTTTGTTGAAGTTGGTTGATGGGTAATTCATGGGGCAAAGGTGCTCCTCGTGCCTCCAAAATACTAGCACGAAGCTCAGAAAAGCTGACTTCCTTCAGGCCTCAACCCTCCCCCCCCCCCCAAACCAACCACTCAATTTCCAAAAAGGGACAAAACGACTTTATTTTCCGATCTGCAGTGTGGAAGAGCCACCTCCTCAGAGGTTCCCTTCCCTGCCGAGGGCCACGACAACCGGCCGGCGGGAGCCACCGGGGCGGGGGCTGTGTGTGTGTGTGTGGAAAGCGGCTCCTCTCCACAGCCGAGCCGAGGATACGAACATCGCCTCTACCCCTAACCCCGGAACAACCGGTAGTGGCCGTTTCCCCGCGCTCCCTCGCCTCCCCCCTCCCCTCTCCGCCGGCTTTGTGTGCGTGTGAAATGTGCGGCACATTGCAGATGAACCCTAAGCCCGGCGAGCCGAGTCTATTGTTCCCCGCGAGGAGCTGCCGCGGCGGTGTGGAGTCAGGTGCAGTACCGCGGCCGGCCCTCGGGGGTCGCTGTGTGGCGCTGGCTTGCGTCGGGCCGTGGCGGCGGCAGCGGC